ACGGTGTTGGCTATCTGTTTAACTAAGTATATAACGGTGTTGGTTACCTGTGTAACTACATTGTAAGTATGTGACGGTGTTGGCTATCTGTTTAACTAAGAAAATAACGGTGTTGGTTACCTGTGTATCTACATTGTAAGTATGTGACGGTGTTGGCTATCTGTTTAACTAAGTATATAACGGTGTTGGTTACCTGTGTAACTACATTGTAAGTATGTGACGGTGTTGGCTATCTGTTTAACTAAGTATATAACGGTGTTGGTTACCGGTATAACTAGGTGTTTATACATGTAACGGTATTGGTTACCTGTGTAACTAAGTATTTACATGTAACGGTGCTGGTAACCTGTGTAACTAGGTTAATAAAAGTGTTCTTTACCTGTGTAACTAGGTATATAAAGCTGTTGGTTACCTGTGCAACTAGGTATATAAAGGTGCTGGTTACATGTACCTGAGTAACTAGATAAATAAAAGTGCTGGTTACCTGTGTAACTAAGTATATAACGGTTTTGGTTACCTGTGTGACTAGGTAAATAAAAGTGCTGGTAACCTGTGTACCTAGTTGTGTAAAGGTGACCATTACATTGTCTACCTAGATATAAAACTGTTAGGGACGTGTTACCCTCGGAGTGATTGTACAATATTACGGACCAGTATGTTCGGTGTTAGCACAGCGGCTGGGAGATCTACGGCGAGTCTGTATCCATCATATCTACAACTCGGAGCATTTTATGTCCTGATGTTTGTGATAAGGCTATAAAGAGAAAACATGTTTATGGACAAGAGCTGGTAGAAGGCCAACACTAAACGTTTGTTATCCTCTACAGTCGCAGAAGGGGAGACGAAGGAAAGACAGAAGAAATCATAGACAGTAGAAGAACGTACATACACATATTAACACGGATTTATCCCTATCTACATTTCACATGAGGAAAGACGGCGAAAGGGAGGGAGTAGGAAAGCATATGCGTAAGCTGTTTTTACTGTCGGTGAAAATACGAACGGAGGGGAGAGAGAAGTGGAGGTATGCGTAGCCCTGTCTTCCCTAGACTAGCATGAGGACTGCATATGTCCAGTAATCAGCTAATGTTATAATGTCGCAAAAGAAATTCACGAACGCCAAGATTGTCATCTTTGGAGCTTCCGGCGTTGGCAAAACAGGTAAGACATGTCGTCATCATGGGTTTAGTTTTACTGGACTGGGGCCTTGAATTACACTAAATAAGAGGATTGTCAATTGACATATTTAGTTTCGTGATAAATATTTAGAAAAAAAACCCTTCGCTTTTGAGCTAAATAGGAGCATCTACACTGTATAACGTGGTATAACATAATAATGTGTGAGCGTACAGCAACTTCCTTAGTAACAAGGTGACGTTTAAATGTTACCGTTGTGGTGTTCTGATACGATTTTATGTTACCGTTGTGGTATTCTGATACGATTTTATGGTACCGTTGTGGTGTTCTGATACGATTTTATGTTTCCGTTGTGGTGTTCTGATACGATTTTATGGTACCGTTGTGGTGTTCTGATACGATTTTATGCTACCGTTGTGGTGTTCTGATACGATTTTATGTTTCCGTTGTGGTGTTCTGATACGATTTTATGTTCCCGTTGTGGTGTTCTGATACGATTTTATGTTCCCGTTGTGGTGTTCTGATACGATTTTATGTTCCCGTTGTGGTGTTCTGATACGATTTTATGTTTCCGTTGTGGTGTTCTGATACGATTTTATGTTTCCGTTGTGGTGTTCTGATACGATTTTATGTTTCCGTTGTGGTGTTCTGATACGATTTTATGTTTCCGTTGTGGTGTTCTGATACGATTTTATGTTCCCGTTGTGGTGTTCTGATACGATTTTATGTTCCCGTTGTGGTGTTCTGATACGATTTTATGTTTCCGTTGTGGTGTTCTGATACGATTTTATGTTTCCGTTGTGGTGTTCTGATACGATTTTATGTTCCCGTTGTGGTGTTCTGATACGATTTTATGTTTCCGTTGTGGTGTTCTGATACGATTTTATGTTTCCGTTGTGGTGTTCTGATACGATTTTATGTTCCCGTTGTGGTGTTCTGATACGATTTTATGGTACCGTTGTGGTGTTCTGATACGATTTTATGTTTCCGTTGTGGTGTTCTGATACGATTTTATGCTACCGTTGTGGTGTTCTGATACGATTTTATGTTCCCGTTGTGGTGTTCTGATACGATTTTATGTTCCCGTTGTGGTGTTCTGATACGATTTTATGTTCCCGTTGTGGTGTTCTGATACGATTTTATATTACAGTTGTGGTATTCTGATACGATTTTGTGTTACCGTTGTGGTGTTCTGATACGATTTTATGTTTCCGTTGTGGTGTTCTGATACGATTTTATGTTTCCGTTGTGGTGTTCTGATACGATTTTATGTTCCCGTTGTGGTATTCTGATACGATTTTGTGTTACCGTTGTGGTGTTCTGATACGATTTTATGTTCCCGTTGTGGTGTTCTAATACAATTTTATGTTACCGTTGTGGTATTCTGATATGATTTTATGTTACCTTATGTTACCGTTGTGGTATTCTGATATGATTTTATGTTACCTTATGTTACCGTTGTGGTATTCTGATATGATTTTATGTTACCTTATGTTACCGTTGTGGTATTCTGATATGATTTTATGTTACCTTATGTTACCGTTGTGGTATTCTGATATGATTTTATGTTACCTTATGTTACCGTTGTGGTATTCTGATATGATTTTATGTTACCTTATGTTACCGTTGTGGTATTCTGATTCGATTTTATGTTACCGTTGTGGTGTTATGATACGATTTTATGTTACCGTTGTGGTAGTCTGATACGATTTTATGTTACCGTTGGGGTATTCTGATACGATTTTGGTGTTACCGTTGTGGTATTCTGATACGATTTTGGTGTTACCGCTGTGGTATTCTGATACGATTTTATGTTACCGTTGTGGTATTCTGATACGATTTTATGTTACCGTTGTGGTATTCTGATACGATTTTATGTTACCGTTGTGGTATTCTGATACGATTTTATGTTACCGTTGTGGTATTCTGATACGATTTTGGTGTTACCGTTGTGGTATTCTGATACGATTTTATGTTACCGTTGTGGCATTCTGATATGATTTTATGTTACCGTTGTGGTATTCTGATACGATTTTGGTGTTACCGTTGTGGTATTCTGATACGATTTTATGTTACCGCTGTGGTATTCTGATATGATTTTATGTTACCGTTGTGGTATTCTGATACCGTTTCGGTGTTATCGTTGTTGTATTATAATACCGTTTGGGTGTTACCGTTGTGGTATTCTGATATGATTTTATGTTACCGTTGTGGTGTTCTGATACGATTTTATGTTACCGTTGTGGTGTTCTGATACGATTTTGGTGTTACCGTTGTGGTATTCTAATACCGTTTTTTGTGTTACCGTTGTGATATTCTGATGCTATTTTGGTGTTACCGTTGTGGTATTCTGATACCATTTTGGTGTTACCGTTGTGGTAGTCTGATGCTATTTTGGTGTTACCGTTGTGGTACTCTGATACCATTTTAGTGTTTCCGTTGTGATATTTTAATGCTATTTTGGTGTTACCGTTGTGGTATTCTGATACCGTTTTAATGTCACCGTTGTGGTATTCTATTACCGTTTTAATGTCACCGTTGTGGTATTCTGATACCGTTTTAATGTCACCGTTGTGGTTTTCTGATACCGTTGTGGTATTCTGATACAGTGTTGGTGTTATCGTTGTGGTATACTGATACCGTTTTGGTGGTACTATTATTTTTTTTATTTTTTTTTTACATTTTGTAAAATCAGGTGTTTTTTTTTATCATTTTGTATATTTTAAATATACATTTGTTTAGTAGACAGAATCTGTTAAATGTAACTCTTTTTTATTTCATGATAGCTACCGTTATTAATACCAACCTAGTGCATTCTGATGTAGAGTTTCTTATTTTAATCAGATTCAACACACTTGATCATAATCGTATCGTTACGATAGTATGAGGATGAAAACCGTATATTTGTTACTGATGACGCGCCGCCGAGGGAAATAGTTTTTCACCATGGGGGACAATCAATTTGCTATTTCACGAATTACCCATTTTATAAAAGTTTTATCATAACGTAACAAATTAAGGCAATTTAACAAATGAATTTATAAATACAAGTATTTAAACAATATCAAAGAGAAAACAATTATTTCAATTTAGAGAAGAAAAAAAAAGTTACAAATGTATCACACATCTTTTTTATAACAAAAACAACAAATTTACTGTTGTCTTTTTGTTTTGATAATGTTACGTCACTCCGCGTCAGGGAGGACGCCTTGCCCACCAAATAATTTCATGGTTGAAATTGTATAAACTCCGCTTACAAATATCACGAGGGAGTAGTCCTCTTTCTTTCAGGAAGTAGTACGGCAGGGAGTAGCCCTCACATGGAGAGATTTAAGCGATCCTAGGAAAATAGAAGATTTTATTACTGTTTTTAACTTTATATATAGAAAAAACTCAATAGAGGTAAAAAAAAAAAGCAAGACCATACACTTGTGTTTTTCTTACGAATAAGAAAGCACTCATTTATTGCGCGAACGAATATATTCACGAGTGCACGGAGCGCACGAGTGAATATATACGTCCGCGCAATAAATGAGTGCTTTCTGATTCGTTAGAAAAACACAAGTGTGTGGTTTTGCTTTTATCACATACTTTCCGTATTTGGTAGAGATCAGTACAAAGATTTTACAAACTTTGATATTTTTTGCAAATACCGGGAACTTTTCAGTTCGCCATGACAAGTAGTTCCGGCTAGTAAGTAAATACAACATTCCGTATTGCACATGTGCAATAGAGAACGTTGTATTTCATGATCTGAAAATTACCTGTATTACTATAACAAGATTCAACAGGTATGTGATAAATACTAATGACATCTATTTACTGGTGACGTCTATTTACTGGTGGCATCTATATACTGGTAACGTCTATATACTGGTGACATCTATTTACTGATGACGTCTATTTACTGATGATGTCTATTTACTGATGACGTCTTTTTACTGATGATGTCTATATACTGGTGACGTCTATTTACTGATGACGTCTATTTACTGATGACATCTATTTACTGATGACGTCTATTTACTGATGACATCTATTTACTGGTGACGTCTATCTACTGGTGACCTCTATCTACTGGTGACGTCTATTTACTGATGACATCTATTTACTGATGACGTCTATTTTCTGATGACATCTATTTACTGATGACATTAATTTACTGATGACATCTAGTTACTGATGATGTCTATATACTGGTGACGTCTATCTACTGGTGACGTCTATTTACTGATGACGTCCATTTACTGATGACGTCTATTTACTGATGACGTCTATTTACTGATGACATCTATTTACTGGTGACGTCTATCTACTGGTGACGTCTATCTACTGGTGACGTCTATTTACTGATGGCGTCTATTTACTGATGACGTCTTTTTACTGATGATGTCTATATACTGGTGACGTCTATCTACTGGTGACGTCTATCTACTGGTGACGTCTATTTACTGATGACGTCTATTTACTGGTAACGTCTATATACCGGTGACATCTATTTACTGATGACGTCTATTTACTGATGACGTCTTTTTACTGATGACGTCTTTTTACTGATGACGTCTATATACTGGTGACGTCTATTTACGTCCATTTACTGATGACTGGTAACGTCTATATACTGGTGACGTCTATTTGCTGATGACGTCTTTTTACTGATGATGTCTATATACTGATGACGTCTATTTACTGGTAACGTCTATATACTGGTGACATCTATTTACTGATGACATCTATTTACTGATGACATCTATTTACTGATGACGTCTTTTTACTGATGATGTCTATATACTGATGACGTCTATTTACTGATGACGTCTTTTTACTGATGATGTCTATATACTGGTGACGTCTATTTACTGATGACGTCTATTTACTGATGACGTCTATATACTGGTGACGTCTATCTACTGGTGACGTCTATTTACTGATGGCGTCTATTTACTAATGACGTCTTTTTACTGATGATGTTTATATACTGGTGACGTCTATCTACTGGTGACGTCTATCTACTGGTGACGTCT